CAAAGCAAATACGAATGTGGAAAAAAATATGCACTTTGTCATTTGAAAAAAAAAGTTGGGTACGGTCCTGGAATAATGGAACCCCTCATATTTTTCAAAATTATTTCAGTGAATGCAAATCTGACAACTGTATAATACGGCAAAAAATGATTTCCGTAGTTTCAGTAATAAAATCGACACCCTCTGTGACAGCAATTATGACTCACCCGGTATAAAAGTCAAAATTTTTAAATCGCATTTATTAATTTTTTTTTCTTATATTTCTTCATTGTATTCTAAAATTAGATTGTGTGTTTGTTTATCGGCGCAAAAACTTGTTGTTTTCACACCTGGTTGGTTATTTTCGTCCAGGTCAGGGCTTTGGTCGAATTTTGAGTTTAAAGAATGAAAAAAATCGAGTTGGAATGTGTGCACGTGAATGATGCGTGAACACACAGCCGGTTACTTTCTTATAAAGTTGTCAACAAACAACTCTCTACAAGGAATAGGTAATATTGTCAATAAACGGTTACGAAAGCCTCACGAGGGCACTGAATGATTTTGATTGTGACCAAGTTTCACCACACAAACACAACACGGAAAATAATCAAAACAGTGTTAGAATAAATTACTTTTATTGTCCATAAAATTGCGATAAAATCGGTTAGTAGAGTTAGCACAATTGAACAATACTCACATTTAGAAAAAAAAACAAATAACAAATAATTGGATTATAAAAATGAAGCTACACCTATGAGAGGCTTCGATAACTAAACTAAAGCGCCAAGTGCGCGGCACCACTTATATAAAGTCAGAGTCACGTGACCAATTTATAGAGATATGATTTGAATCACCAAATTTACAAATCGCAATTTTTTCAAATATCTGAAGGAAATTCTTGCATGAATCACAATCATTAAAATTTTTGATTAAACTAAACTACAAATTCCAATTAACATCAACCATAAATTCTAATTTATTATTTTTCACGAATCGTTATCTTTTCATTTCTTGGTATGTATTTCTGCAGCATATTATTAATTCCACTATCTTATCATTTTATCGCAGACAGGTCGAATTTTCCACAGGTCAGGACAATGGAAAGCTTTCAAAGCATTTTCACCACTGGAAAATAAACAAGATTGCCATGTAAAAAATCAGTTGCTAGGTAACAAACAAATCAAAGTTTGAGATTTGTACATCATCACCTAGCAACGTTACCAGTTGCTAGGTAACCACCATAATTTTGTATGTTTTTCTATACCTACTTCATTTAATTAATAAAGAAAATTGTTAATTAAGACAAAACTAAAATCCCTAGACCACGAAAAAGTTGAAATAAAGCAAACGAAGACGTTTATTATTAAATAACGATTTAAGCTACTTGTGAATGAAACCATTGTTTAAGCAAAACATAATAATCTATTTGAGGAAATAAAACGATTACCTTCTTAGTTTACGCAAATATTAAATTATCTGACAAACAAGAAATAAAGACGGAAATTGAATTTAGTCAAGTTTTTTCTTTCATTTAAATTAGCCAAATAATTGAAAAAAGCACATTCAGATAAAATAATTGTCAATTATTACGCTTTAAATTGTCAATTTGGTTTTATTAGCTTGTAAAAGAGTTCCAATTGATTCAATACCCATTTCAAATTGAAAGATATTAAAAAACAAGTTAAATCAGAAACTTATTATTTTGTTGTTGTTTTGTTGCATGACTTTTAAACTAATTACCAGACATGAAAATAACGATAATTGGAAAATTGTTCTATTTATAACCGAAAAATCTGTAAAAATACAGTTTATGTGATTTGAAAAATGTCACCTCTGACCTCCAAGACTGTAACTTTAACAGATTTTCACTCAAATCACTCAAATTTCAGGTATGTGCTAAGAACTTGTTGTTTATTTGTGAATATTTAAATAAATTACAATCTACCTGTAGTAAGTAGTAACGACAAGTTATCTATTTTTAGACAAAGTAAATATTCTTTGCTCTCTCATCCATTGATTGATAACATTGCGTCTTGAAATGGAGGAAAAAATGTAAGAAAACGATTCCAAAGTGCACAAACTCACAATCTTTGGGGGCACGGCCGTGCGTCATTGGGTTCAAATACATGATAATATTTTTGAGTCATTCCCGGAAAAATAAGATTTTATCAGTTTTCGAATCAGCAAAAAAATAAAACTGAACAACAAAAACCGGACCTTTGTCCATACTGAACCAAATTGTCAATTTTAAGTTTCGTTGCCACGCAACATGAACTGACAATAAATGTCAAATTTGACAGTTCATATTTTCCATAAAAATTGAATAAACACAGAAAAACATGATATTTTTTCGTTTGGTTTGTCTATGATTAACAGAATCAGCAATAAACATGTAAAACGTGACTTCAGTAGATTTGAATCTTAATTGCTCTAAAAATAAATGCGTCGTATCGTCAGTTTAACGAGTAAACAATTATATTATACTCAAAATTATCTTTTGGAAGTTACTTTTGACTCTGATACGCGAATTTTTTTCTTAATAAAATGTCAATTTGACAAAAATCATTCAAAGTTTACGCAACTGTCACCAAAACTGTCAAACAATATATAATTTTAAATTTCGTTGCCAGGCAACACGAACCAAACTGTCAATAATTGTCAAATTTGAGAGTCAGTTGCTAAGTAACAACGAACCGAACTGTCAAAAAATTAAAAAAAAAATTTGAATCGACTTATTAAAAACGTTTCAAATGTTTTGAAGTTGCCTAACACTTATCGAAGATTCTAGAAACGCAAGACGAGTTTATACTTTAAAATATCCGAAATAACAGTAATTTCAAAAACCGTTATTTTGATCGATTTATGACACTTTTTATGACAGAAAATTGAAAATGGGTCAAATATGGGACGGGGAGGACACCACCCCACGTGATGCTTCTGCGTGTTTCTTTATTATACCATCATCGACTAGATTGGCCTTTTAAGTGGGTCAAGACGCAAAAAACAATTAAAAAAAAACACTTTTGGGAATTATAATTTAAAAAACTAAACAATTAACACAATTGACTGAGTTATTTAAATTTAAATAAATTAATTTGTAATAAAAATCATAAATCAAGTAGGTAATGCCTCCAGTTTGATTTTTGAACCCCTCCCTTCATTGCAACCCTCCAAAATTGTCAAAAAACAATTCATAGCACACTAAGAATAAACTAGGCCGTTACGATCGTGGAAATTTCCATCGCGGTTTCACTCAAAGACGCCTTCTGGTACCAATATTATAACACAAACTCATACTAATCTGACACAAATTGATCAAAAATACAATAAATAACTCACCCATTGGAAAAATTCGCTCAAAAATGAAATTTTCCCGCATATAAACAATAACAAACCACCAGGTTATCAACCTTACCAACCCAAGAACGCACAACTCCTAACTTACAAGCGTCGCTAATGGAGGGCAGCACAAAATCTGGCAATTGTCAAACTTTTCTGTCAAAAGTCAAATAACTAATCAAGCGTTTAGAAAACCGTTTTCTGTAAAAAAAAAAATAATAAAAATGCCAGGTTTGAATGCTGATCCGAATCGGGTGTGTAATCCACCACCAGAGGTGAGAGGTATCCTTTTTGAAAATTTCAGGGAAATTTAGGTTAGATTGTATTTTTCCTGAAAGTTTGTTAAGATATCGTCGATAAAACAGCCAGTTTTGTGGCGAGAAACGGCCCCGAATTTGAGGCCCGACTCCGACAGAACGAATTGGGGAACCCCAAATTCAATTTCCTGAATCCCGTTAATCCCTATCACGCGTATTATCAGCATAAAGTCAACGATTTGCGAGAGAACCGAGAGGGAAAGCATTTTTGGGAATTGTAAATTCAAAAACTAAATAATTGCTCATTGACTGTTTTATTTAAATTAATTAATTTTTAATAAAATAAATCAAGTAGGTAATGCCTCCAGTTTCATTTTTGAACCTCCCCCTTCATTACAACCTCCCCCCCTCGTTCATAGCACACTAGGAAGTGGGAAGTTAACCAGGTTTCACACAAAGACAGCTTCTGGTGCTGATTTTATAACACAAACTCATACTAATCTGACACAAACTGATCAAAAATATAATAAAAACTCATCCATTGTAAGTAAAAATTCAATAACAAAAGTTACCAAACTAAAAACGCCAAAGAGGGCAGCACTAAAATCTGTCAATTGTCAAACATCTGTCATTTGTACGTTGACCAAGCGTTTGTGAAAAATCGTGTTCGTTATCTTTCTGTGAAAAAAAAATAGAAAAATGCCGGCTTTGGAAGCCAATAATCCGAATCCTGACGATCCTGGACCTATAAATCCAGTGGTGGGTATTATTTATCCACCACCCGAGGTGAGAAGTATCCTTTGTGAAAATTTCAGGGAAATTTAGGTTAGATTGTATTTTTCCTGAAAGTTTGTTAAGATATCGTCGATAAAACAGCCAGTTTTGTGGCGAGAAACGGCCCCGAATTTGAGGCCCGAATCCGACAGAACGAATTGGGGAATCCCAAATTCAATTTCCTGAATCCCGGTGATCCCTATCATGCGTATTACCAGCACAAAGTCAACGATTTTCGAGAGGGAAAAGGTGAGGAAAAAATTAAAATCCTATTTATGTTTTGATCACGTGGCCTGTGATTTCGAATTAAGTTGGCAGTACTGTCTATTGCGAAATAGTATACAGGGTTATTCATAAATATGAAGCAATATTTGAACCTCTAAAATGATGTTAATTTTTATAATAACTGGTGTCCGATCTCTATTGATAAGAATACGCAACTTTCGCAATTTATTTAAAAAAAGTACTGACTAAAAAACAATTTTATTTAATTAAAGGTTATTTTTAGATCATAATCTTCAATTTAAAAAATTATTATGATGGGTTGCCGTTTAAAAAAAATTTTTTTCCAAAACTCGAAAACTAAAAGAAATTTCGAAAAATGTTATTCTTACGCTACACTAATTATTTTTTTCGTAAATTGCTTAGTATACGAAAAAAACGCTTGAGTCTATACATTTTATTCACTTGGTATAGTATATTACAACTCAAATGGGAATTCTAATGTATCAACTTTAACAATTTATTTAAAAAAAAGTATTGGCTAAAAAACAATTTTAGTTAATTAGAGGTCATTTTTAGATCATAATCTATAATTTAAAAAATTATCATGGTGGGTTGCCGTTTAAAAAAAAAATATTTCCAAAACTCGAAAACTAAAAGAAATTTCGAAAAATGTCATTCTTGATAAATGGTCAGATTTTAATTGTACTTTACGCTACACTAATTATTTTTTTCGTAAAGTGCTAAGTTTTCGAAACAACGCTTGGTTCTATACTTTTTATTCACCTGGTATAGTATATTACAACTCAAATGGGAAATCTGATGTATCAACTTTAACAATTTAATTTAAAAAAAAGTACTGGCTAAAAAAAATATTTATTTAATTAGAGGTCATTTTTAGATCATAATCTTTAATTAAAAAAATTATCATGGTGAGTTGCCGTTTAAAAATTTTTTTTTTCCAAAACAAAGAAATTTCGAAAAATGTTATTTTTGATAAATGGTGACATTTTAGTTGTACTTTACTCTACACTAATTATTTTTTTCGTAAAGTGCTTAGTTTACGAAAAAAAACGCTTGGTTCCATACTTTTTATTCACCTGGTATAGAATAGTACAACTCAAATGGGAAATCTGATGTTTCAACTTTAACAATTGATTTTAAAAAAAGTACTGGCTAAAAAACAATTTTATTTAATTAGTGGTCATTTTTAGTTTATAATCTTTAATTTAAAAAATTATCATGGTGGGTTGCCGTTAAAAAATTTTTTTTTCCAAAACTCGAAAACTAAAAGAAATTTCGAAAAATGTTATTCTTGATAAATGGTCACATATTAATTGTACTTTACGCTGCACTAATTATTTTTTTCGTAAAGTGCTTTTTACGAAAAAAAACCGCTTGGTTTCATACTTTTTATCCACCTGGTATAGAATAGTACAACTCAAACGGGAAATCTGATGTTTCAACTTTAACAATTTATTTTTAAAAAAGTACTGGCTAAAAAACAATTTTATTTAATTAGTGGTCATTTTTAGATTATAATCTTTAATTTAAAAAATTATCATGGTGCATTGCCGTTAAAAAATTTTTTTTTCCAAAACTCGAAAACTAAATGAAATTTCGAAAAATGTCATTCTTGATAAATGGTCACATTTTAATTGTACTTTACGCTACATTAATAATTTTTTTCGTAAAGTGCTTAGTTTACGAAAAAAACGCTTGGTTCCATACTCTTTATTCACCTGGTATAGTATATTATGTATGTAAAACTCGAAAACTAAAAGAAATTTCGAAAAATGCTATTCTTGATAAATGGTCAATTTTAATTGTACTCTACGCTATACTAATTATTTTTTTCGTAAAGTGCTTTTTACGAAAAAAACGCTTGGTTCCATACTTTTTATTCACCTGGTATAGTATATTACAACTCAAATGGGAAATCTGATGTATCAACTTTAACATTTTATTTAAAAAAAGTACTGGCTAAAAAACAATTTTATTTAATTAGAGGTCATTTTTAGATCATAATCTTTAATTAAAAAAATTATCATGGTGGGTTGTCATTAAAAAAAAATTTTTTTTCAAAACTCGAAAACTACAAGAAATTTCGAAAAATGTTATTCTTGATAAATAGTCACATTTTAATTGTACTTTACGCTACATTAATAATTTTTTTCGTAAAGTGCTTAGTTTACGAAAAAACGCTTGGTTCCATACTTTTTGTGGTATAGTATATTACAACTCAAATGGGAAACCTGATGGCAAAATTAGTCCTAGAGATTTGAAGAAGTGCATAGATAAAACGTTGTTGGATCGAGTTTAAAAAATTACGTATTTTTTGAGTTTCTTTGTACTAAATGACTTAAAAGTCGAAAATTTCATTTCTTATGATGAAAATTAGCCATATATTAGTGTTCGGTTTTGCGCCTTGAGCACCATGACTTATCTTTCCGAGAGCGACAATTTCTGATTCGTCCTACAGTAGTACCAACTTCATTTCGTCACAAACCCTTCTAATGTATTTTTAAAAGGGCAAGAACCGACCCAAACCCTTCCTGCTGCCATATCGAAACTCTCAGTCACCGCAGCTGCGCAACAAAAACAACAGGAGATTTTAAAACAAGTGGAACAACCTTTTGTTCCTAAAGATCCTCCACCAGAATTTGAATTTATCGCTGATCCTCCATCAATTTCGGCGTTAGATTTGTAAGAAATTTCCTATTTTAGTGATTTTCACATTACAGTGTTATTCTTAGGGACATTGTGAAGCTCACTGCACAATTCGTGGCCCGTAATGGGCGCCAATTCTTAACTCAATTAATGAATCGCGAACAGCGCAATTTCCAATTTGATTTTCTTCGTCCTCAACACTCTTTATTTCAATATTTTACCAAATTATTAGAACAGTATACAAAAGTTTTGATTCCGCCGAAAAGCATGCAACAGAGACTTCGAGATGAGGCTCGAAGTGCGAAAGCTGTCTTAGAACAGGTAAAATACCGAGCGGAATGGTTGCGCTACCAGGAGCAACAAAAAGCCAAACAGGAGGAGATTTTGGAGAGGGAGAGAGTGGCTTATGCCCAAATTGATTGGCATGATTTCGTCGTTGTCGAAACTGTTGATTACCAACCCTTCGAAATTGGTAATTTTCCACCACCTACCACCCCCGAAGAAGTCGGTGCACGTTTACTCATCCAGGAGCGCTTCGAAGAAGGTGAAGACATCGAAATGCAACTAGAAAGTGATGAAGAGGAAGCACAATCAGTCGATGAAGGTTTAAGTACCATGCAGGATCGTACCGGTCAACGCAAAGATGACAATCGAGTCCAAGACATGGAAGAAGAAAGTTCCGATGAAGAAGGCGATGAAAAACAAACAAATCAACCCAGTATCCAACCACCACTACCCCCAGTTCCTGATAAAGTCGTCGTTAAGAAATACGATCCCAAGCAAGCTGTGAAAGTAACACGGCCTACTGTTGGTGATGATTATCTCATTTCGCCAATCACCGGTGAGAAAATTCCAGCGAGTAAAGTACAAGAACATATGAGGATTGGCCTTCTTGATCCTCGTTGGGTCGAACAAAGGGATAAACATGTGTCGGAAAAGTTGAATCAAGAGACGGTTTATGCTGGTGGTACCGCCATTGATGCCAGTTTGAAACTTTTAGCCGAACGTCGAACTGATATTTTCGGTGTTGGGGATGAGGAAACAGCGATTGGTAAAAAAATCGGCGAGGAGGATGTAAGAAAAGATGAGAAAGTCACCTGGGATGGGCATACGTCAAGTGTTGAAGCGGCAACAAGGGCCGCAAGGGCTAACATCACACTAGAGGAACAGATTCATCAAATACATAAAGTATGCAACACTCGCTTCGTTCGTACGTGACTTGGATTGGTTTCAGGTGAAAGGGCTACTACCTGATGAAGAAAAAGAGAAAATTGGACCGAAAAACGTACAAAGTAAAGCACAAGCTAAGGTTAGTGCTGCAGCTGCAGCTGCTGCTATTATCTCAGCGAAACCTCTCGCAAATCCGAATCCGGTAAGTATGAACAAATTTCGTTCATTTCTCATTTTGTATATATTGCTTAGCCGGTTAAAACCACACCGGTATCAGCAGTTATGCAAACACAAACTCAAACCATCGTACAGGTTCCACAGCAAGCTACGATGCTGCCACAGACGTCCATTATGATGATGCCAGCGCCACCTATGGCACCCATGCGCCCTCCACCACTCATGAGTAAGTCTACGCACCACGTGACTAATATCTCCATCTTTGTTACGCAACGACAATTTCTATATTTACTTTCTTTCTCTAATGGTGGAGAACCGCCAAATCCTCACTGCGGGTCAAATCGTGTCGTTTTGCATCGAAAAAGTTGGAAAGCACTTTTTTTGAAGAGGTTCTTATTTAAAAAAAACTCATTGTCCTAGGACTAAAAATTATCAAAAAAATCATTAATTTAGCTAACAATGAACAATAACGCTTGAACTATGAGGAATTTTCGGGTTTTCTCGACACCAATCTACTTCTCGGAACATTTTACTACATAAAGTGTAGGTCAAAATGTTTCAATTTTGAATGGTGATTTTACCAAAATCAACAAAATAGTAACAAAAAAAAATTATAAATAAAAAAATTACACTTACAAAATTCGTAACTTGAAACTACAAAGTCAGAGCCGAAAAAGTTGGAAAGCAGTTTTTTTGAAAAGGTTCTTATTTAAAAAAAATCATTGTCCTAGGACTAAAAATTATCGAGAAAATCATTAATTTAGGTAACAATGAGCAAAAAGGCAAAAACTATAACTGTCAATAACGCCTGAACTATGAGGAATTTTCTGGTTTTCTCGACACCAATCTACTTCTCGGAACATTTTACATAAAGTATAGGTCAAAATGTTTCAACGTTGAAAGGTTATCTTAGCAAAAAATAAAAAAACTACACTTTATATCAATCAAAATTTATAACTCGAAAATTACGAATTAAAAATCAGAACAAGCGAATTCTCCGGACCATTCTAGATTATAATTATATAGATTTTTGACGAGATTTGAAAATTTTGTTTTTTTTTTGTTTCAATGATTTTTTTCAAATTGTTTTTTTGTAAACTGGATTTTTTTAGTTAAATGTCGTCTTGCAAGTTCTATCTCTCCGCCACTGGTTTTCTTGATATCAATCGACTTCTCGAAATATTTTACAAAAGTATAGTTCAAAACATTTCAAAATTGGACGATGGATTTTATCAAAATCGACAAAATAGTAATAAAAAAAATTAATAAATAATAAATTAATAAAAAAATTAAAAACTACAAATTTTAAATTAGAACGGTTTACACTGGCCAATTCCCTAAATTATTTTACCTCATATCTACCAGGTGAATAAAAACTATGGAACCAAAGGTTTTTTGCTTAAACTATTTATTTTTTGAAAAAAACTAATTGATGAGTGATAAAGTACTATAAAAATGTGATGATTTAACAAGAATAAATTTTTTCGAAATTTACTTTTGTTTTTGAGTTCTACAAAAAAAAATTTTAATGGCAACCCACCATAAAATCATTTTTCTCATAAACGCTGTACTCTAAGGATTACAACTATCTACTTTATATTTAATTTTTTGAAAAAAATATTTTTCACATAAATTGCAATTTTGACAAAAAAAATCGCATAACTCAAAAACAAAACAAAATTTCGTTCTGAAAATACGATCACATTTTTTATATTACTTTAATTTATATTAATTATTATTTTCTGGAGACAAATGATTAAAAATAAAACCCCGCTTGGTTCCATACTTTTATATTCACCCTGTATATCGATTTTTGAGGAGATTTGGAAATTCGATTTTTTTGTTTGCCTGAAACTTTTTTTATTTTCTTTTTGGAAATTACATTTTTTATCTAAATTTCGCCTTGTAAGTTTTCTTGCTCCGCCACTGGTTTTCTCGACACCAATCAACTTTTCGGAACATTTTACATATCATATAGTTCTAATTGTATCTATTTTGAACGTTAATTTTCCCAAAATAGTAGTAATAAGTGGAAAACTATAAATTTTAAGTCATATCGGTTTACAGTAGTTTACACAAACGAATTTGGACGATCATGTTGCATTACATTGATATTTTGAAAAGATTTGGAATTTCGGTTTTTTGTTTGTTTGACTGAAACAATTTTTTTCAATTTGTGTTTTTGGAAACTATTTTTTTATTTAAAGTTTCTCTTGTGAGTTCTCTTTCTCCGCCACTGACTTTTTCGGCACCGATCGACTTCTTAGAACATTTTACGTAAAGTAAAGTTCAAAATGTTTCAATTCTGAACGGTGGTTTTACCAAAATCGTAAGAAAAAAGTTAATAAACAAAAAAATACACTTAAAAAATTCATAACTCGAAAATTATGAATTTAAGTCAGAACACAGGCGAATTCTCAGAATCATTTTACATTATTGTACATCGATTTTTGAGGGGACTTTAAAATTGAAATTTTTTGTTTACTTGAAACTTTTTTTCAAATTTTCTTGCGCCCTGCCCCACACATGAGTAAGTCTACTCACCACGTGACTAATATCTCCATCTTTGTTACGCAACGACAATTTCTATATTTACTTTCTTTCTCTAATGGTGGGGAACCGCCAAATCCTCACTTCGGGTCAAATCGTATCAACTCGGGACAGTTCGGATCACTTTGGATCCAATATAACAAATGTTGTGAAAATATAATTCTTAGAGAAAAAATGTTCAATAGTGGCAGCGCCGCCTCCCATGGCCGGGTTTGTGACCCCCATGCCCCAGATGCCCCCCATGGGCGGGATGCCGGTCAAGCATCCGAGTGAGAGCCAACCGGAAGAGGAACCGACCAATAAGAAAATGCGAAATGAAGATTCCCTCATCCCTGAAGAAGTTTTCTTATCGCGCAATCCGGTATGTTTGATCACGTGTGCGCATGTCAAAATAATTGTGTCAAATTACAGAATCCTGTATCTATTAAAATTGCAATTCCGGTGGTTCCCGAAAAAGCCGAATGGAAGTTAACCGGACAAATGATTTCATTAAATGTCCCACTTTCCGAAAGTGTTTCTTCAATCAAATCCAAGATACAAGAAGAAACTAATATGCCACCAGCGAAACAAAAATTATTTTATGATGTAAGTTAACTATCTTGTTTTAAACTTGTGCTCATATTAATTTTTTCCAGGGCATGTTTTTCAAGGATTCAAACACTCTTGCTTACTATAATATAATCACGGGGGCTGTTATACAATTGCAAGTGAAGGAAAGAGGTGGTCGCAAAAAATAAAATGTATTGAGTCAATAAAACAATTACGTATTATTAGCCAATAGCATAGCTTCTAATTTTCTATATCTCCCAACCATTGGTTCATAGATGTCGCTAGCGTCGGAATATGGTTGACAGACAAGTCGTGGTGGGGGGAGACACGATGTGACTTCGAAATAGTCGCTTTGGGGGCCTAAAAGTCCATGTTTGGCCTGATAAGCGGCCCCTAATGTGGCTGACTTCGATTCGTCCTACACGAGTTACTTAGTTATTTTTTTCTACAATTTGCATACTCACTAGGAGGTAGACAGGCGCGTTAAAGACGTCCGAAAGGACTTGGAGGATGGCTTTATTATTGGAAGCCCCTCCTGTTGCGAGAATTTTCGTCTTTTTGTCCAATTTAAACCCAAGGTCTTCGACATAAGCCCGTCTTGCGATGAATTGGCCTTCGATCAAGGCCCGGACTTCGACTTCCAAACTCGTGAATTTTGAAACACGGTCTCCGGCTTTGTTAAATCTGAAATCGCCTGAAAGAAACGGGAGGATTTCCTGAACGTCGTAGTACAATCCTGAAAATGAGATTAGTAAAAATTAGAAAAAATTCAGTGTGTACCCATATTCCCGAAATTGCCACGTGGTGTACTGTCTAAGAGTTGGTTGAAAATGTCCCAGTTTGACTCAGCACACGCATTTCTCACTCTTTCTCGCGTCAAAGACCCGTTTTTGAAACTAAAAATTAGAAAGTTTTTGGTTTTTCGAAAAAAAATCCCTTACACTAGCATGGCCATATACGCGTTTGGGTTAATTGGGTTGCACAAAATGTGTCCGTTTAGCACAATTTTGGGCTCATTTAACCACAAAAAAAGAGTGTCACTTGTGCCCAAACTCACTGCTAGCCAACCCTCATTTAGTCTCATTCCTTGAAGAAAAAAATTGTAAAAATTTTGTCGGTCAAAAATTTGGGGGAATTACCCACAAGCGATGCTGGATTGTCTCCAGTACACGCAATAATCCGACAATTGGGGTCAAAACTATACCTTTCGACAAAATACGGCGAAATTTGACCAACATCACTATTCGATGGTACTAAACCATTCAGTTTTTCCCCTAAATCAGGCCCAATGGTTTCCAGTAAGTCCAAATGCCATTTTTTCGTTTTAATATCCATGAGATTCATCCCTGACCCGTCCGAAATGTCAATTGGGGCGATTTTACCCAAGAAAAGTGAACACAAGAAGCTACTAACTAAAGAAATTCGCTAGAAATAACAATGAAAAAAATGGTTTTTTTCATTCAAATTTTTTGGTACTTCGGTGTTTTTGTAGGCCTCGGGTTTGGTTTGTTTTATTTTGGCGATTTGGGGCCCTGTGAACCTCTCATAGCCCCTAGACCCCGTAATTTCGGCTAGTTTCTGCAAAAATTTTCATCAGTTTTAATCAAAAAAAAGGAGAATTACTTGAGGCCCCCCGACTGCATTTTCCAGCTCTTTGCACTGTTTGCTCGTACTGGAATCCATCCAAACTGGGCTATTCGCAATTGTGAAGCTTGAGGCTAGTTGTTGGTGCAAAAATTCGCCCGGGTTTAGTCCTGAAAGGATTTTTTCAGAGCCTTTTTGCCAGTAGACAGAACCGTGTTGTTGGGCCGAGCCTGAAATTGCAGCAATCTTCGAAAAATCCACACCGGCGACTGTGAGCTTGTCTAAGAGCATGTCTAAGGCCTTGACCCACATTATGGTGGGGGCTGTGATCACGCTGGGGTTGGTTTTGTCGATTTGGACGCCGCCGTGGGTGCGGAATTCGGGGAGGTCGCTGTCGAACATGACGGAAGCTTCGTGGATGATTTCGAGGCTGTTGGTGACCACGGCGGCCTTGAGCTGTAAAAAAATGTAAAGCATTTTTAATTTGCTTTCTTATACAAAAAAAATCATTGTTCTACGAGTAATAGTTATCGAGAAAATCGCTGATTTAGGTAACAATGAACAAAAACTATATTCGTCGATAACGCGTAAACTGTCGGGAGTTTTCGGTTTTTCTCGACACCAATAGACTTCTCGGAACATCTTACATAAAGTATAGTTCAAAATGTTCCAATTTTGAATGGTGATTTTACCAAAATCAACAAAATAGTAACAAAAAAAAATTATAAATAGAAAATTACATTTACAAAATTCGTAACTTGAAACTACAAATTCAGAACGGTTTGAGCTGAAAAAGTTCTTCTTTTCAGCTTCTAATTTGCTATCTTATTTAAAACAATCATTGTCCTAGAACTAAAAATTATCAAGAAAATCATTAATTTAGACGATGAGCAAAAAAAAACTGTCAATAACGCCTGAACCATGAGGAATTTTCTGGTTTTCTCGACACCAATCTACTTCTCGGAACATTTTACATAAAGTGTAGGTCAAAATGTTTCAACTTTGAACGGTGATCTTAATAAAAAATTAAAAAACTATACTTTATAACAAAATTTATAACTCGAAAATTATGAATTAAATCGATTTTTGACGAGATCTGTAATTTTGTTTTTTTTGTTTAAATATTTTTTTTTCAAGTTGTCTTTTTGGAAACTGGATTTTTTTATTTAAATGTTGTCTTGTAAGTTCTATCTCTCCGCCACTGGTTTTCTTGATATCAATCGACTTCTCGAAATATTTTACAAAAGTATAGTTCAAAACATTTCAAAATTTGACGACCAAAATCGACAAACTAGTAATAAAAAAGTTAATAAATAATAAATTAATAAAAAATTAAAAACTACAAATTTAAATCAGAACGGTTTACACTGGCCAATTCCCTGGATTATTTTACCTCATATCTATATAGATTTTTGAAGAGATTTGGAAACTCGATTTTTTTGTTTGCCTAAAACTTTTTTAATTTTTTGTTTTGGAAGTTACATTTTTTATCTAAATTTCACCTTGTATGTTTTCTTGCTCCGCCACTGGTTTTCTCGACACCAATCGACTTCTCGGAACATTTTACATATCATATAGTTCTAATTGTATCTATTTTGAACGTTAATTTTCCCAAAATAGTAGTAAAAAGTAGTAATAAATGAAAAATTATAAATTTTAAGTCAGAACGGTTTACAGTAGTTTACACAAACGAATTTCTATGATCATTTTGCATTGCATAGATATTTTGAAAAGATTTGGAATTTCGGTTTTTTTTTGTTTGACTGAAACAATTTTTTTTTCAAATTGTGTTTTCGAAACTATTTTTTTGTTTAAAGTTTGTCTTGTGAGTTCTCTTTCTCCGCCACTGACTTTTTCGACACCGATCGACTTCTTAGAACACTTTAGGTAAAGTTCAAAATGTTTCAATTTTGAACGGTGATTTTACCAAAATCGGCAAAAAATTAAAAAAATTCATAACTCGAAAATTATAATTCTAAGTCAGAACAGTTTACACAGGCGAATTCTCGGAATCATTTTACATTATTGTACATCGATTTTTGAGGGGATTTGAAAATTAAATTTTTTTGTTGGCTTGAAACTTTTTTCAAATTTTCTTTTGGGAAACTTTTTCTTTATGTAAATTTCGCCTGTGAGTTCTCTTGCTCCGCCACCTATTTTCTCGTCACCAATCGACTTCTTGGAACATTTTACGTAAAGTATAGCTCAAAATGTTTCAATTTTAAACGGTGATTTTATTAAAATTGACAAAATCGCAACAAAAAAAGTTAATAAACAAAAAAAATACACTTAAAAAATTCATAACTCGAAAATTATAATTCTAAGTCAGACCTATTTACACAGGCGAATTCCCGGAAACATTTTACATTATAATATCGACTTTTGAAAACATTTGAAAATTCATTTTTTTTGTTTCAGATTAAAAGTAAAATTTTTCTTTTTGGAGACTTTTTCTTATTTAAACTTCTTTTGCGAATTCTCTCTCTCCGCCACTGGTTCCCTAACACGTTGCGTAATCCAACCCATCAACAGGTGGCATTCTCGTCCGGTACCATCGTCCCATGCCACCCATTCTCGCATGCGCTTGTTTTCCTTCATACATCGATCGAACGAATTGTTACAACAACAATTATTCCTCCACTTACCTGTTGGGTACTCAAATCCAACCCAAGGAAGGTTCGTTCGCTCTCAGACACCATTTCTACCACGATTTTACACCAACAAAAGCCAAATCTGGTACTGCAAAGAAACCCACGAGTTGGCTTGACTTCGAGGTCAAGGCACGCGATACTATTGCATTATATTCCGGATAAATGAATCACTTGACAGAAACGTGGAAGCCGTGGAAATATCACGCTTTATGGGGCCTAATTGGAATTATCTTATCGCAAAAATACAACAATTTAAGCAACTACAACGAAATTAAGAAAAAATACCAAGTGTGTTTAATATTATTATTATTATTATTATTATTATTGTTATTTTATTTCGGTTGTTGACAATAACAGTGGATGATTGTTGATGAGGTGTGCGTCGATTATGCAACCAATAATACAAAACTTTAGAGTTGTCCGGAAATGGGGTTGCGACATCGTCACAATCAGTAAATAAATGATGGTCGGTCGTTTTCTGAACATGAGCAAAATAAAATGCCGCCAGTTCTTAGGAGTTGTGGCGTCCAAGCAGGGCGTCTCGACGTCGGCCCCAAGCGGCGTCACCCAACTATGACTTTTTGTCAAATTAATAAAAATGCACCACCGGTGGTGGTGTAATGTTTGCTTGGTTGCTTGTTCAATGATTTGTTTGTGTGTGAGCGATGCCAAAATTGGTAAAAACATCATCTATTATAAATTAAATTTTTATGTACATTAATATCGATGGGGATAAACAAGGGGCGCCCCCGACGACGCCGTGAGTGGACGCCGAGACCGGAGCCCGGAGCCAACTCGACTCTTCAATAACGGACGGAGCCACGGGACACGACGGCCGACTCGAAAACAACAACAACAGACTTGAGGAATATATCCGAGATGCAGAACATATTTTATGGCATTTTTATAGATTTGCTGCTTCCGCAATCCCCCTCATTGTTTTTCTTTTCGTGCCAACGATGAATCACACCATGATGTGATTAATGATGGATACTGGAGCGGAAAATCATCGACGACACAAATAATGGGAAAAAATTTGCTTTTTTGTTCGAAAAATCAACAATTTTTTTTTAATTTTACTTCAGAGTACGAAAACAGAAAACAAAGAGAAAAAAAATAGAAACAAACATAAAACAAAAGTGCTCGTAACAATTGACGACCTCTAAATAATAGCAAAATTACACATTTTAGTAAATTTTACCTGAAAATAAGAGTAGAAATAGAGAAAAACATTGCTATTATTATTACAAACAGTCCGTTAAGACTTTGCAAGGAAAAAAGGGAGAAAGAAAGAATGAAAGAAAAAAAAAACGAAAATGAAAAACAACAGCGAAGGACAAACAAAAAAAGAGAAAGTAATAAATGACGACAGCAACAATTAGTTTTTGTTTCAAAAAATCACCAATTTTATTAAATTTTACCTCAAAATAAGAGTAGAAAAAGAGAAAACATTGTTATTGTTACAAACAGCCAGTTAAGACTTTGCAAGAAAAAAAGGAAGAAAGAAAAAAAATAGAAAGAGC